TGAACCTGCTTCCCAGCAAAGACAGCTCTGCCAAATGAGTTCACTTGCCATTTTGTTGCAGAACTACTTTTAGTGAGTTTGCAGCCAAGCATGCTAAAGACTCGAGATTCAAGGCAATTGAAAAGATGAAAGATCGAGAGGCCTTGTTTAATGAGTTTATCACAGCGGCAAGAAAGAAGGAAAAAGAAGATTCGAAGACCAGAGGTGAGAAGGTAAGGTGACTTTTAGTTCCAGCAGCATGAATGGTGTGAGTCTGAGTGAGATGGGACAAAGCCAGTGCTTCTGAGACATGGTCCTTCTCTTTCCATAGAGGTTTTACAATGTAAACACTTCACGGATGTCCCTTTGGTCTTTCTGAACTAACTATTCTAAGTTTGCAGGTATAGTGACTTTTAGAGTATATAGAATTGAACTTACATTTATTTGTGAAGCTGAGTTTACTTAAATAATCACACTTTTTTTCATTTACCTAAGCAAGTAACATTATAATTGTAACTGGAATAATGCCTTTTTTTTTTTTTTTCCCAAAGTTATATTATCCTGAAGCATTAAAAGGAAAAGGATTCTTGTCCTGTTTGGCTGGAAACCCCAGAACTGGCCATTACCTCTCTGTTCTCTCAGTGGAGGCAGTAAGAACCTGAAATTCTCTGTAGGATACTCCATTTAAATCTCAAACACCTTCCACATCTTCTCTTTCCATCTAAAAGCTAGCATTTCAGTAACTTTTTAATCTTTCAGTAAATATATCTTATGTATAAACTGCTGCTTATTAGAATTAAAGGTCAGCTATTAAAGATTAATGAATTCCAAATGTCATTTGACCGTATTGTCAATAGCAGGGAGCAAACTTTCACCACTGGCGAAGCAGGCTACTATGGAGGTGACATCAAATGTTATCATCAAAATATGCAGCCACTTACTTAAATGTCCCTGTGTGTTGTGCGAATGGAGAAAATAGCCTCTAAAGCCTAATCATTTTTGACATTTTAAAGTCTGCAATATTTATTTTTAGTATAAAGTTATTGCAAATTTCACCTACTAAGAATGCTTACAGAAGAGAAAAATGCTGAATAACAGGTTAGATTTGGGGATAACTTCGTTATTCAGTAAGTTTTGCATATTTTCTTTTAATTAGGTACTCTGGTCTAATTTGATTCTGTACTCATTTTTTTTGAATGTTGACTTATTGCTGATATTTTCAATAAATTATTGTGCTTTCAGAGGAGAACTGATGTAGTTCAAAACTAGACTTTTACATACTGCATTTCAGTTATGAATATGGAATTTTAAAGCATTCTTGCAGCTTAATAGTGCAGTTGAAGACTTTAAAAAAAAGTAAATATTTGTTTTGTTGTTGCATGATTGTTCTAAAGTTGAAAAGTTAAAAGAAGAGAGATTGTGTTTGTTTGCTTTTGAAATAATGTTTTTTTTTCCTCCAAAAGCCTTTTGTAACCATTTTATGTATTCTGTTTTATAACAAGTGGATAGACTTTACAGTTATGTGCTGTGCGGCCTGTCAATCAGTTCAGTCTGACAGCTGTCAATCACTGACACGCAAATATTATGGGATTCCCTAGTGAGGAAAGAATTGGTATCTCTGTGTGGTGACTTTAGCCTCCCGCAGTTCCGGTACTTTACATTTTTTTAGTTTTTTTCCTTGTGAAGTGATGAGAGTTGTACCTGCAATGTGTTAACTGCCAAAAAAAAAAAAGTCTTCTAAATACACCTGAAATATTTTCAGTCTTACTTTCCTTTGATTTTGAAAGTGCTTAAAACATAAAAGAAAATTTAAGGCATTTAACCTGAAGCTTTCTCAGTCTGTTTTAAAAGTCCAAAATCTTTATTTAAGGAGGATCAACTTTACAGAAATCTTTAACGTAAGGGTTTTAAATTATGTCATGTTTTGATTTTGCTTCATTGAGTTATGGCTTATTGGATGGTGATGGAGCAGCCAGCTTTTCAGATGGTTGTTTTTATTCATGTGCCTAATTTCAGTGAGTAAATACAATGCTAATACTTCTCAGATGACAGAGATGAGGAAGGATGTGTGGGTTTGAAGATATCAGGGAAGGGTCTATGAGCTGTTAAAGTTGACCAGGCTGCTCGTGTGCCATACCAGGACACAGCATTGTTCTGTGTCCTCAAGATGAGCCATGCCAGCAGATGAGCCTGATGTCCCGCTTTGTGTAGTCTTACTGAGATGTTCAGCTGCAAACATCCTGCAGCCCACTGTGCTGATGACTGTCTCATCCGTCATCTATCCTGTATCAAGATCTCTTAACAGTTTTCTTACTTAATGTTTTACTTAGTCAAGCTAGTTACTGTGTATGGATATACTAAACTCGCAACATTGTAGAGCTGTGATCTTAAAAGATTATTTGTTCATGGGATGTTTTTGACTCAATTTTTTGAGAAGTGAGTGCCTTTTTTTTTTTTTAATTGAAAACCAAATTGCAATATTCGTGCTATATACATTGCAGATGACTGAAGTTAAACCCATGGTTTAAGAGCATTAAAAGTCTGGAAGTGTCATTCATTTTTCTTGGGAGGGAACTGGCTGCACCCTCCTGGTTTTCCGCCAGGTGGGTCGCTGGCGAAGCAGCAGATGGCCCAGCTGGCATCGCTGTTCAGTAGTGCAGGAGCTCGGTAGCCAGCAAGCACACGGCTTCTAAGGGAGCAAAGTGGGGTGCTGCTGGCACGTCCTGCAGAAGCATCTTCCTACAGATTGTGGTGGTGGTCTTAGGTCTAGTTTTGATGGCAGCTGGTACCACCGTGCTTCCAGCAGTGTTGTGGGTATGCAGTGTTTATCCTCTGGAGTGTATGTATAGATAGGCATATGTGATTTGTGTAGAAACTTTGAGATACCCTTACTTTATAGACTTCTGTAGTAATGTCTGGGAATTGTTTGATTTTTAACAAATATTTCTAATGCCATGGCTTAGAAAGCTTCGTATTTTTTGATACTGCATGCATGTCTTAAGATATTTTGAAACAACATTCTTAATTTTACAATGAATAAACGGTTTGCTTAGCATTTTGTTCAACTACTTTAAGAAAAAGTGGTAGTGCTGTAGATGTAGAGCGACTTCCCACTGGCACTAACCAGTTGTTTTCTAATCTGTGCTTACTATCTTAATCTCTCTGAGATAGTAAAGAAAAAAGCCTGTAAAGCCTTTTATGTTTATATGTTAATATTGTAAAAAGCTACAATTATTTGTGGGCAAGGCTGCAGAATGTTGGTTCTGATCTTCATTTTGTTCTTGCATTCTGTAACTAAACACATTTTTAGAGAATCAGGATGTGACAGTTTTCTGGCAAGCCAGAGTTTGTTGGCCTGTCCATCTGCTCGCTTCCCTTATGAACTTCAGTGGTTGGCAGCTAAACTGCTTTTGGTGGTTTTCTTTTTTTAAAGGGATGAGGAGTGGACATAGTAGCAAAAAATGAGTGGCCAGCCCTTCTAGGTTTTTGGGGTTCTTTAATTAGTATGCCATAAAGACAGGATTTTGTTTGGTGGACCAGCAGGGTTTGGGATGCTGTGAAGGCAGCATGCTTCACCTTGCTTGTGGAGTCCCTAGAGTCATTCCCTGGCACTTAGTGAGCGAGGCGAACCAACCCCTCGCCTCTCCACTTCAGAGAGATGGAGGCTTAAATGCCAAGCTAGACTTCTAAGGCATAAAGTGGTGGAAATAAAAAGGAGAAAATGCCTAGGACCTAAAGTGCAGCAGGACGATCAGGGAGATCATCTACCCAGAAAGAAAGAGACGTAATAAAAGCATAGTAGTTGCTCTTGCAACTGCTGGTTCTGGGAGTTTGAACGAAAACGTGTTGCTGGTTGTGTCAAGATAGGAAAAAAAACTAATATGATTGATCCTCTGCCAGCCCTTTGCAATGGCTTTTGTTATGGACAGAGTGCTGACATGCCATTTCCAATTGAAAAAGTAGACTAAAAGATTTCCTTAAACATTTACATATATGTGCATATCCATCTTAAATGTAATTTCCGTAGTTACCATATGTGGTAACTTTATTGGTTAGATCCATCTTAAGACATTGCTCTTTATCAGCAGATCCAAGTATTTACCTCTGTTCATTGTACACTTGGAGGATGAATCCATAAATACTTGATTTGTCTAAAGCCCTGTTTAAAACTGCATAGCTTCTGTAGTATTAATATGCAGAATGGTCTAATGTAGAATTAGTAACTTGTTACTTTGAGAGAGAGAGATAAAAGCTCAAAAAAGAAGCTTAAATTGGAGTAAAATAATAAAAACTGTATTGATGAATCGTTCTTTAAAGAATATAGTTCATCTTAGATGTAGCAGATCTTCTTTATGTATCTGCTTTAGCAAAATTGTCCTAAGGGGAAGTGAATTTTAGATGTGGTTATGTTTAAATTCAGAATTTTAGTGATTTCTCTAAATTGTAATGGTATGTAATATTAATATATTTCCCTCTGTTGGAGGTAAGTTGACTCCTTTTTTTCATAAGAGCAAACTGTTGGGTATCGAAAGTATCTTTCTCAAGTATTGTCTTTCTGTTTCTGTCTGTAAAACAGATCAAAATGGACTTCTTTGAACTACTGGCTAATCACCACCTGGACAGTCAGTCTCGCTGGAGCAAAGTGAAGGATAAAGTAGAGACTGACCCCCGTTATAAAGCAGTGGATAGTTCTTCACAGAGGGAAGACCTTTTCAAACAGTACATAGAAAAAATAGCTAAGGTATGCATGAGTGTCATGGTTTAACCCCAGCCAGCAACTCAGCCCCACCAAGCTGCTCGCTCACTCCCACCCAGTGGGGTGAGGGACAAGATCAGAAGAGTGAAAGTGAGAAAACTGGTGGGTTGAGGTAAAGACAGTTTAATAGGTAAAGCAAAAGCCACGCACGCCAGCAAAGCAAAACAAGGAATTAATTCCCCACTTCCCATTGGCAGGCAGGTGTTCATCCATCTCCAGGAAAGCAGGGCTCCATCACACGTAAAGGTTACTTGAGAAGACAAACGCCATCACTCCAAACATGCCCCCCTTCCTCCTTCTTCCCCCGGCTGTATATGCTGAGCATGATGTCATATGGTATGGGATATCCCTTGGGTCTTTGGGGTCAGCTGTGCTGGCTGTGTCCCCTCCCAACTCCTTGTGCACCCTCAGCCTCCTCGCTGGTGGGATGAGGGGCAGAAAAGGCCTTGGCTCTGTGTGAGCCCTCCTCAGCAACAGCTAAAACATCCCTGAGTTATCAACACTGTTTCCAGCACAAATCCAAAACACAGCCCCAGACCAGCTACTGTGAAGAAAATTAACTCTACCCCAACCACAACCAGCACAATGTGACATTTGGAAGTATAACTGGATGTTCTGCTGGTCACATTGCTGTTGATGTGTGAAGTAAGTAACTAGAAGATAGACTAATATGTGCTGTAGTTCCATACTAAAGAGAATTTTATACAATAGTTATTTGTAGAAGTACCCCAGAATGACTGCTTGAAACAGAAGTACTATCCCTGGTGGTGGGTCTGCTGCAGATGTTCACGGTATGTGTATGTGTGCGTGCATACACACACACACACAATATTTAGAAGAATTTATTCGGCAGAGACTCCTGAAAAGCCATTGGTTGTAAAAATGACTGTAAAACTTCAGAAAATACAGACACCACATTGATTACTTCCTACCAGGATGGGCAGAGAGTGTCCTTTGCTGTGATTTTTTTTTTTTTTTTTTTTTTGGTACCAGCTGAGCTTCCTTTGGGAATATGGATGGTTCATACACAGTTCCTTTGCTGGTTCTTCTCTCTTCATCCAGTATTCCTGCCTTTCTCTCTCAGGCAGTTAATAGTTGAGAATGTAAAACTAGGCTAACAAATAGTGATACCATTCTCCCCCTGTCCCCCCATTATTCAGAGTTTGTCGCTGTACACAAACAACATGCTCCTGAGAACAGTTGTTCTTTGATCAGCATTGTGACCAAACTTCTCTTTCCCCCATGTAAACCCTATAATGCTTCATCATAGCTGTTGAAGCAAAATTTTGTAATCCATAGATCTCAAATCAGTGTGAAGTATTTTGTTTCAAGATGCCTTTAGTTTGATAACCCTTTAATTTACTTAGCTATCTAATGAAAATATGAAAGGTGGTGTCTTGTTTTTACTGAGAAAAGTTTGTTCTTACATTTCAGAATTTAGATTCTGAAAAAGAAAAGGAACTGGAAAGACAAGCTCGCATTGAGGCAAGTTTGCGTGAACGAGAAAGGGAAGTCCAGAAAGCTCGTTCAGAGCAAACCAAGGAAATTGATAGAGAACGTGAGCAGCACAAACGGGAAGAAGCTATACAAAACTTCAAAGCGCTTCTGTCTGACATGGTGAGATATGGACAGGGTTTCTCAGCTTGTCAGTGCATTCTTTTTCTAATTGTTGCACTATGTAAAAGGTTTTTTACATTTGTTGTTAAGTTTATATAGAAATAGAATCGTGTTGTCTTCTCCCCACTGCCCTCCACTCGCTGTTGGGAGTTTTACCTTGGTTGGAAGAGAATGCTTTGCATTATAGTTCATGTTCTGGCATCTTGCCCATGGAGTTAGTGGATAGCATTATTCCTGCTATGTTTCTTTGGAGTCTCATGGATGATGGCAGATTTTCAGTCATGCTACTGTAAACTTTGGTATGGTTGTTGGAAAATTAGATATTAAGGGGCCTATTTCTAATGCTCAATATTTTTGCATTGTCTCTCTTCTTCATGCTCTAAGCACAGCACCTTTGTCTTACCATTTCTCTGCTATGTTTTGTGTTTACTTTGTTCTGCTGGTCAAGCTGATCTGTGAGAGAGCAGTTCCTGTATGGCAAATGTCCTATTAAGGGGACAGTGTTAGCAAAATGAGTTTTCACCAGTATGTGTACTATTCCCTTGCTCCCTGCTGTAAGATGTGAAATCCAAACACATTAATAGTGCTTGGTTCCACATTTCAGCACCAAAATCTTTATAAGGGGGCAGGATATAACTGGCTCAACACTATGGTCTGGTGGTGTAACCAGTTACATAAAGCAACAGCTCCTCGAGGATGTTCTCCAGGCTAGAAGAAAGGCACTGCAAAGCTCTTTGCAGACTTTGTGTCTCTTTGGAAATAGTTATATCTGAGGCTGCCTTTCCAGACTACATATGGTTAATATAGTACGTTATGCACAGAGGAGGAGGGTGCTGGATTTTTCTTTTTGAGAGAATACTCAGCTAGGTAAGTGGGGTATCTCCATCTGCATTTGAAAGTAATTCCTTCTTCCACTGCCTGTTTAATGTTTGTGGGGAAGCTACTACAGTCTCTTAAAAGCTGTTTGG